GTGGGATTTGAACCGCTGAACTGCTGATCTAGCAGTAGCTTGCAGTGCTGCATTTAACCACTGCGCCACCTTGGCGTGATCACGTGACTCCGAACAGCCGTAAATGCAGCCATGTTGCGGAATGCCCAAAGTACAGTCATGTGACCAGAGGAAGGGGCCTGACTATTGGAAGATCCAGTCACAAGGGCTCTTTTTCAGGTAGTTCATAACTTTGAATGGTTGCTAAGCAACCGGTTGTTAAGTTGTGGACTACCTGTATATTTCAAAATAAGCAAACCACAACTCTCACCTGGATTTATCTGAGATGGCGTTGTCCTTTCCTCACATCCCTGAAGTTCTGGAATCCATGAATCTTCTCGATCGATCCAGGAGAGCAGATCAGTTTTAGAAAGAGGAAATCCTGTAGGCAAGGAAAAACTTCAGTACAGGTAGTCCTCCACCACAACTGAGCTCAAAATTTCGGTTGCTAAGTGAAACACTGTTACCATGAGTTTTGCCCTGTTTTACGACCTTTCTTGCTACAGTTGTTAAATGAATCACTGCAACTGTTAAGTTAGCCACACAGGGGTGTCAAGCTCCATTTCATTGAAGGCTGCATCGGCATTGTGTTAGGGAGGGAGGGCGTGGCCAGCTCGACCTCACTCGTGTCAGGGGGGGGCACCTGTTGTGGCCCAAGCGCTCTGCCACAAAAAACAGGCTCCCAAGCTCCGTTTTCAGCTGCGACCCTCTGACAGCAAAAAAAGAGCTGAGGAGGGCTGCGTGCAACCTAGAGACATTAGAGACAAAAGTCTATTCACGTAAGCTTTATGCAGAGGTGGAAAACAGAGCAGTTGTTCTTAATTGCACCCGAGATGCAGAAAATCATTTTCTGTTTGGGGCGCAGGAGCATAAAATCCACTAGTCTTACCTGATGCCAATCCTCTCCGGTGGGGCTCAACTAGTGCAGTGATTCGGGGCAGGGTGAGCGCCATCTCTTCTGCTAACAAGAAAAAGTACGAAATACCCCATTAGGATATTGAGCAGATTGGTTGGCACCATGTGGATGCAGTGGGCTACTGATGCAGTTAGGTCTTTGCTTTGGCTAAATTAACAGAATAAAAGTTGGAAGGGACGTTGTAGGCCACCTAGTCCAACCCCCTGTTCAAGCAGGAGACCCTATACTAGGGGTATCAAGCTGGATTTCTTCGAGAGCCAGATCAGCATTGTAGTTCTCCATGGGCTGGCTGGGCAGGGTGGAGGGGGCGGGGGAGAGACGGGACAGACGATTCCTGCAGCACCCCTGCCGGCCAAAACCTGGCATGCAGGGGCCTGCATACACACCTGCACCATTTTTGGCCTGGACAGCCTCCTGCAGCACTTTGCCAGTGGAAAATGGGGCACAAGGGGGCCGTACATGCTCCCCCACACCCACACCCACTTTGCAGGCAAAGTGATGGAGGAAGCCGTCCAGGACGAAAATGGGCCATGTGGGGGGGAGGGGGGGTCCCATTTTCCAGGCTGGCCCTGAGGATCACATTTAATCACCCTGCTGACCAGATCCGGCCCGCGGGCCTTGAGTTTAACACCCCTGCCCTGTACCATTTCTGTCCAATCTCTTCTTGAAAGCCTCCAGTGATGAAGCATCTACAAATTCTGAAGGCAAGCTGGTTGATTGTTTTCATTGGTTGATTGTTTTCATTGTCAGAAAATTTCTCCTTATTTCTAGGTTGAATCTCCCCTTGATCAGCTTCCATCCATTGCTTCTTGTCCTAACCTCAGGTGCTTTGGAGAATAGCTTGACTCCCTCTTCTTTGTGGCAGCCCCTGAGATATTGGAACATGTCTCCCCTAGTGCTTCTTTCATTAAACTAGACATAGCCAGTTCCTGCAACTTTTCTTCATATGTTTTAGCCTCCAGTACCCTAATCATCTTTGTTGCTCTTCTCTGCGCTCTTTCTAAAGTCTCCACATCTTTTTTATAGTGTGGTGATCAAAACTGGATGCAGTATTACTCTGCAACCACTCTGGATAAGAACTACTTGGTGTTCAGCATGCT